GCGACCAAGTGTAGCTTGATATTAACTGAAGCACAGTACTCCCTGAACTCCTTGCCAGCGAAGCAGCGCCCTTGATCGGCGATCAAGCGCGAAGGAGCACCGAAGATAGCGACATTAGCCTTCAGCGCTCTGATGCTGCTTGCTGTATCAATGTGCAGGGTGTGATGCAGCATAACAAATTTGGTGAAGGCGTCTATTAGAACGAAAACGTACTCCTTTTTGTTGTTTTTGCCACTCAGTTTCCCGGTAGCGTCGATGTGCAACGTGTGCCATGGTATAGCTACCTTTGGAATTGGGTGCATCTCCGCCTGGACCTTACCTGTGTGTGACTTTGAAATCTTACAGGTCACACAGTTCTCTACGAATTTTCTCACAAACTTCGACATGTTCTCGAACCAGTAGAGGTCGTAGAGTTTTTCCAGCGTTTTCTCCCAACCCAAATGCAGCAATCCCTCGTGAACGTTATTAACAACGGACCAGCGGAAGGAACGGGGAACAATAGGTAACCAACGATTTTTACCATTTCGTTGCACTTTTCGATGCAGGACACCGGATCGTCGCTCGTAAGTTTTGGCAACATCAACAGGGAGCTCATTGGTATCGATGTCAGCCAAGAGCTTTAAAATCTCAGGGTCACGTTGCTGTTCCATCATCAGCCAATTTTGCGATAGCTCTGCGAGGTTTACCTCCTTAAGTACTACCTTCTCACTAACCTTGTTTTTAGTTTCAGCTGGCGGTAATGGGTTCCTGGAGAAGAAGTCGGCGTGGCACATATTTTTACCTTCACGATGGACAATGTCGAAATCGAACCCTTGTAGAAAGGCCCACCACCGATGAACACGTGGCGTCAGGTCCAACTTCTTGCGTGTGGACTGCAGGGAATTACAATCGGTGACTACTCTGAACTTGCGACCATGGAGATAACGCCTAAAATGTTTTACGGCATTGACCACCGCGAGGGTCTCGAGTTCATACGAGTGGTACTTCGATTCGGCGTCAGACGTACGCTTGCTGTAGTAGGCGACTGGGTGTAGCTTACCTTCTTTTCTTTGCAGTAACACCGCACCGTAGCCTACGGCACTGGCATCCGTGTGAACTTCAGTTTCAGCATCAGGGTCATGGATCATGAGCACAGGCTCATTTGTGAGAGCGGTTACAATTTTCTGCCTAACTTCCTCGTGTTCCGGCTTCCAGGTCAACTTACCATTCCCAGAAGTCAGGGCATATAACGGCGCCATCACCTGTGAGAACCGTGCCACGAATTGGCGAAAGTATGACGCCAAACCGATAAATTGCAGTAGCTGTGTCACAGTCTCAGGCGGTGGTAGTGCCGTTAATGCTTCAATCTTACGTGGATTAGGACGAATCTCTCCGCGGTTAACCTCAAACCCTAAGTACTCTACCTTTTGTTTCAGAAGAGTACACTTTTTAAAGTTGATGGTAAAACCCTTTTCAGACAGCACCTTAAGGACAATATTAAGACGTTCCAAGGCTTCGTCAACGTCACATGCAACAATCAAGACGTCATCCATATACACAACGACACAGGTGTTCACAAGATCTCCAAGAGCATTTATCATCGCACGCTGAAAAACCGCGGGTGCATTCTTCAAGCCAAATGGCATCGTCAGGTATTCGAAATGACCATCGGGGGTAACGAAGGCGGTGCTCTCAATAGATTCTGTTGCAATGGGGATCTGGTGAAAACCTGATGCCAAATCGATGGTGGAAAAGTAGTGTCCTCCATGCAATCTATCAATTTGATCCGATATAAGAGGCAAAGGGAAACGATCAGAGATTGTGTTGTCATTTAATTCACGATAATCGACGCATAGTCGAAGAGACTTATCCTTTTTCTCCACCAAGAGTATAGGACTCGCGTAAGGGGATGAACTAGGCCTTATAATACCAGCCTGAAGCAACTCGTCAATTTTACCACGTACAACCTTACGCTCTTCCACACTCAATCGATAAGGACGTCGATTTACAGTTTTACTTGTATCCTTCAGACGAATCTGCATTGGCTGCGTATCGGCTGGTGCAGTAGGTATACCTGTAGTAAAAGATTTCTCAAAGGCCTGCAAGGTACTAACTAACTCTTTTCTACGATCCGCTGGTATGTCAGTATCAATAGAGTTCCAGTCAATTTCAGGGTTCGCTCTACCTCACAAGAAGCAATAAAAAGAGACCTAAAGATCTTAACTCGGTCACTAGTCAACTGTACAGTCAAACCATGTTCTAGAATCTCACGTCCAATCATAATACCATAACGTAGAAGATGATCAGACAATATATGAAAACAAACCTCAATATTAATATCATCAATCTCTACCAAAGTTAAAATCTGTATTGTTGAGTTAACGGAAGTCTGCCCTATCCCAGTCATAGTCACAGTCTCATTAATACGCTTTCCTTTAAATTTACAGGCTATTGATTCTTTTATTAATGAACACTCAGCACCAGAGTCATAATAAAATGGAAATTTCTCACCGGAGTGACATAGAGTTCCAGTCGGTGCGTTCAAGAGGCACAGGTCAACCCTCTTCTCATTGACAGGCTTGGAAGACCCGGAGTCGGCACTGCTCCTCTCGGTGCGCCGTGGACAGCTTGATGCGTAGTGGCCTTGCGCATGGCAGTGGAAGCAGGTGATCCCAGATGCACGAGGCTTCGCAGTTGCTGATGAACCTCTCCCATTGCCACTGGTGTGGTTGTGGTGCTTCGGAGTAGCTTGATTATCCTGTTTCACACCCTTATGGTAGCATTGCACGGATTTGTGACCTGGCTTACCACAGATGAAACACTTCAGAGGCTTCTCAGAGTTATTCACCCTGTATCGCTTCTCAGGGGCATCCCGGTCACTAGGTACCTTTCTTTTCATAAAAGAAACAGCTTGTAGCTCTTGTTGTAGCTGGCCACGTGTCTGAATATCGGTCGTGAAAGATAAGCGTTGCACACGGCGATCAAATTGAGAAATGTGAGCCAATATAGTAGCAATAGCCAAACGTTCAGTGCTAAGACCATTCCATCTTGCCATGATCGAGACATTAAACCAGCAGCGTAGGAAGCAAGACACTCGTTTTCTTTAGGCCTGCTGCTTTGCAAATCAATCATGAACGAAGCAATAGTAGCAGAATTATCGTACCTTGCAATAAAAAGTCGCTTAAAATCGGTCCACGTCATACCAGGATACGACACGGTAGATAGCCAGGTAGAAGCTCCTCCCTTCAAGGCGCGACTTAGAGCAACCATAAGCGGGGCGCCATGCTGGACTTGGTTCGTCAAACACATCTCTGCAGTCGTCACCCAAGCACGTGCATCCACATCTTGTTTTTCAGGATCGAAATCGGGTAAACGAAAGCCATGTGACGGCAAAGTAGGTGTTTTCATAGCTTCAATCAGCGTCAGAAAATTGCGGTTCTGTTGTTCTAACAGACGCATCCATTTTTCGTCACTACCTTCATTACGAACGCGTGAGTCGTCGTCGTGGTCCAATCCCACTTCTGATGTCGGAGATACGCTACCCGTGGGTCGCGACATTGTCGAATCACACCAAAATACCAAATTACTGATAATAGTAAGAACGCAGGAAGTTTAGCAGGGAGTAACGCTTCTAGCTGCCGCCACCGCCGCGATCCTTTCCAAAAGTCTTTCCCGCGCTCAGTGACGTCTGTCAACGTCATTCGCTGTCAAATGTCAAAGTCTGATTAAACTTCCGGATCGATATTTCCATCAGTGTTGCCATTACTCCGCGCTAACCATCCTCAAGTAATTACTTGACGTTCTCAAACAATAGTTGCCACATCTAAATTAATTGATATGCGTTGACGCTTCGACATATATATATAAAAGAAAGTCGTGTTAGTTACACTATTTATAACTCAAGAATGGCTTAATCAATTTGGATGAAAATTGGTGGAGAGGTAGCTTAGAATCAGGAGACGGACATAGGATACTTTTTACCCAATACTTTTTTTTTACTTTTCACCGAAAATCACGAAAGGGAACGGGAAACAACGGGATTGCGCGTACTAAGTCGTGGGCAGAAGCTAGTTTCATTATAACTCAAACAGATATGCTACACGGCGTTGTTCTAGACAGTTTACGCTGAGATTTAAAATTGTAATCAATATTAAAACTTAACATGGTGTCTTTACATTTACACTACTATCCTACTAATATTACAAAAATGCGAAAGTTTATATCTTTGTTTGTTACTACTTCTGCTACTGTTCCGTAAAAACGGATGAAGGGATCGAGATCAGCGTTCGTAATTGTTATTCGTTATCGGCAATCTATGTGAAATCCAACAATTTTATTACTTCCATAGTCCATAATTGTTAATTTATTATTCCACAAGGAGTTCAGGCATGTGATGTGATGCTGCGGTTCAGGGGGTGATACTGATTGAATCATTTTAAGTGTGACATCATCTCCTGACATTATTTAATTAGTACATTACAATATAATATAAATAACATAAATACATATTAATGAATAAGACCTAATCAATCAAATGAATAATACTTACACCAGTTACACCACTGTATTATACATTTCAATCAGTACCTAAGTAGCTATTTATTAATAATTGTAATTTTAATTAATAATCATCTAGTGTATTATTTCAAGCCGGTTTTCCTTATTCAAGAAAATAATGGATAAACAAAGAAACGTTTAATTTATAATGTCATTAAATAGGATCATCGAATAATTATCATTGAAAATGTCTATACTTGGAATTGCGCGCGTCATGCCGCATTGATAAGTGGACGTACTGGACGTCCCCAATAAGTACTCGTATTTTCTCAGTCAGAATCTTAGTTTTCACGCTTACATACCTATACATATTACATACTACAATGTGAGTGTAATTAAAATAATTCAATGAGAAAAAATATTAATAAAACAACTGATTTAAAAAAAAATGTGGTGCAAAAGTGCTACTTTGTAGTCTATTTGTACATAAATAGACAATAATTTAAATAAACTAATGAGGAAAAATGTGTATACCAGGAGAATGAGTGGTGGAACACAGAAGGGAGGGATGAGGGAAGGCGTGCAGGTAGTGAAGCTGGGCGAGGGTGCGCAGCGGTACGAGCTGGACGAGGAAGCGCTGCGCCGCGTGCTGCTGCGGCAGGACGTGCGCGGCCTGCCCGTGGTGGTAGTCAGCGTCGCCGGCGCCTACCGCGGTGGCAAGTCCTTCATACTCGACTTCTTTCTCAGATACCTCAAAGCATCTGTAAGTGTTTATTGACTTTACGATCCTATGCGATATTCAATCAAAAGCCTACGTGAACTTCGAAAACATTAAGAAATGATCGTATCATTTAAATGTAGCTATAATATTATACCTCTCTATCATATCTATCTATGCCTAATAAAATTAGCTTTAGCAATTTTATAGATATTTTGCAGATTTTACAGATATTTATGTCAGAAACATTTATATACTTAGTTGATTTAATTTTTGAATAGCGCTATAGTCAGCAGACTGGAGCGTGGCTTGGTAGTGAGGATGAACCATTGCAAGGGTTTCACTGGCGAGGAGGAAGCGAGCGAAACACCACCGGTATCCATCTCTGGTCGGAACCTATTATTACTACACTGGAAGCAACTGGTGAAAAGGTCAGTTTTATATTTCAGCTATCAGTATTATTTGATTTGTCTAGGTTATTGTTACTTCTATAGAAATAAGTGATTTCAAAAGAGCCTAATTAAGGATTAATTGAAATATTTCGTGTTCATCAATTATTGTTCGTGTCATATCGTGGGATTCGCGGGCCGTACGTAATGATATGGTTGTTGCAGGTGGCCGTGCTGCTGATGGACACACAGGGCACCTTTGACTCGGAGACCACGATCGGTCAGAACTCGACTATATTCGCGCTGTCCACGCTCATCTCGTCCGTGCAGATCTATAACCTGACCGGTAACATCAAGGAGGATGATCTTCAACACTTACAGGTTGCCTCGTGTTTCATAATCCATACTAACTTATAGTGGATGGGTTCACGCTGCGGTTTTGTTAATGTCATGTTTTTTCATCCATCAGTTGTTCACGGAGTACGGTAGACTCGCGTGTGACTCAAAATCCAAGGCGTTCCAGACTTTACTGTTCCTTGTCCGGGATTGGCCGCACGCCTTCGAGCATGCTTATGGCTTCTTGGGTGGATCTACGTTACTCAATAAGAGGCTACAGGTAATATTCATTTTCAGTAAATCCAGTATTGTAAGTAAGCATCATTTTAAGTAAATTGATTTTTTTTATGGCATAGGCCGGTAAACGAGCAGACGGATCACCTGATGGTAAGCAATCGGCGTCGCCCATGGACACCTGGAACACCAGAGGCGTTACAAGTGCGTTACCGGCCTTTTGGGGATTAGGAGTTTGAGGATCGTTGGGGATTCAGGAATTGGGCAGATTGGGGAAGGGGAGGGTAATTGGGCCTCCGGTAACCTCACTCACACGACGAAACACAACGCAAGCGTTGCTTCATGTCGGTTTTCTGTGAGGCCGTGGTATCATTCCGGTCAAGCCGGCCCATTCGTGCCGAAGCATAGCTCTCACACACTTAAAAATGAATTTGGTATCCAGGCGAAAGTGAACCAGAATCCAGAGTTGCGGCAGGTTCGGGAACACATTCGCACATGTTTTGACAATATCAAGTGTTTCCTTATGCCACACCCAGGCCACAGCGTCGAAGACCTCAAGTTTACAGGATGCCTTCGTGGTAAGTTATTCATTCAAGTTGATTTGCCTTTTTCTTTCCACCGATACTTCATAATTATACATTTTTTTATTTACTACACATAAAACATTACAGCTGAAGCCGTTAAGTTATTTATACAATTGCATTTATGGTTAATAAAATGATGCTTCACAAAAAAGTTCAACCTGCCTTTAAAGACGATTATTATAGTGCAGTCCAGCAAGAATAACAAACCGTCTGCGGTTTTCAAATGAAACACAAATCTATGGTTTTCTTTTTTAAATAGATTAATGATAAAATATGATAATAGTTCTATCTACAAAGCTGACAGTACGGACTACAACATAATACAATCGGTATAGAAACTTAGTACGTAGTACGAACACAGTCCACTCACCGGACAACTCTTGACATTGTTATTGTCTAACCGTCCGTTCACTAATATGTCCTTATCGTGGAGCGTAAAAAAATATGGTGGTCCTAGTATACTTCCCTGAAGAACACCGCGATTAACGCTCTGTCCTTAAATAAAACTATTTCTACGACTTTATTTATTTTATTTTTCTTTCATGTAGACTGAAGCACTTTTAAGAACTCGGACTCTCAAACCCCATCCAGATCGATACTTTTAATTAAATATACATATAATACTTATCAATTTATCATGCTTAAAAATTTGACTCATGTTAAGGAATTAAACACTATCTTATTAATATTTATAGGTTTAGGATTAAAATAATTTTGAGTTTATTTAATTACAGATTTAAGGGAACAGTTTAGACTAGCTCTGCTAGAGTTAGTGCCTTCTCTGTTCGACCCGAAACACCTCACGCCAAAGCTGATTAGCGGCGAACGAGTCACTACCCAAGACCTATTTGATTACTTCAAGACGTACGTCGGTATCTTTAACAGTGACGAAGTTCCCGAAGCCGTGACAATATTCAAGGTGAGGTAATATAAGGTTAGGTTTAGGTGAACAACGAATTTTGATTCGTATGAAGACGTAGCGCTGTGCTGATACACATTGATGGAGCATCTATAGCAGTAAAGAAGTAAATGTGTTAATTTTGTGCATAGCTATGTTTGGGACTTGCAGGCGACGGCAGATGCGTGCCTGCTAGCGGCGACGCGCGAGGCGCGTGAGCTGTACTCGCTGCAAATGGAGGCGCGAGTGCGCGACAACGTCAGTGTCAGCAATGCAACGCTCACAGCCTGGCACGAGGCAGCGCGGGACCAAGCTCTGAGACGCTTTGTGGGAAAGAAGAAACTAGCCTCTCAAGCCGACGTCGACACTCATCTTGAAGCACTCAAAAAAGTACACTTGATGCTATTATTAAACACAATAATTAAATGGTCCTTTCCTTATGTAGAACGATCAATATGCAATTTTTACTTCTTAGTTTACATTCAAGGCCACCCACTTAACTATGGGATAATACAAATTGTTCATATTCGAGATAAAAATTGACAGGAGCTGGGTGCGAGATTGTCGCAGTACTTGTGGAACAACGATATAAAGGTTCGTGACACCATGACCTTTGCCACGGAAGCATATGAGGCGGCGGTGAGCAGCGTGTCTGCGGAGCACGCGCGGCTGTGCCTGCACCCGCAGGACCTGGACGACCTGCACGCCAGGGCCCTGCAGCAGGCACTTGAAGTCTTCGATGCTGCCAGAGAGGTGCTCGAAGGCGAAGAAGACGATAGAAAATTAGAATTAATTTGTGTAAGTTTTGTGCAATCACAAATCCTATCGTATAAAATCGATATAAAATTGAACATAAAAACTATTAAACAATACTCAAACGTTGTAGAGATTGGAGCAGCGCTATGAGCACTTGTGTGTCATCAACGAGCAGAACAACAAGAATAGCGTGATGGAGGCACGAGAGGTATACGTGAGACGAATGAAGCTGGAGATGGACCAATCGGGCGTTAGCTCCGGGCGACTCTCCACGCACCACCGGGACGCAGTCGACTCCGCTACTACTTCCTTCTACGCGAAGAGAAACATTTCCACGCGGCGAGAAGACGACCCACATGTGGCACGACTCTTACAAGTTCGATTGTTTTCTAACATATTTGATAACGATTGTACTTTCTAGTTTGTTAAACTAATAATATTTAAATTATTTTTTTCTTTATAATTTTAGGACACTAATGAATATTTTGTGGAATTTGAAAAGGCGAATACAAACAGAAATAAGATGGCTTTACATGCCGCTGAGAATGTGTATAACAACTACATGGTGTCAGAATGGGGCCCACAAATGTGCTGCTTCCACCCGAAAGCTCTTGAAGATCTACATAACAAAGGCAAACAGATGGCTCTCGAGCAGTTTCTCTCAAACAGAGTGGATAGCGAAGATGATGAGTATAAGGCAGCGTTAATGAAGGTTAGTCTTTAGAGTTCCATTCCCCTGGGTTAGTTAGATATAAAACCTAGGGGAAGAATTTCACTTAGACTAAAATTATTAGTACGGGCGCTTAATTATCATATTAACACTAAGTTAATGTAGTTAGTTATCATATTAACACAGTTTGAATAAAATTATTGTACTTTGTGCCTATAAGTTGTCATTGTCAATTTAAAGCATTACTTATTTTTATAGAATCTCGGGATACGTTTGACTGACCTGAAAGAAGTGAATGAATTCAACAATAAGCAAGCTGCGGAGCAAGCGTTGAGGCTGTATACGACGCTGATGGATAAGTACAGCCGACCGTCTGCTGTCTCCATCCTCGTGATTCCCTTTATCATCAAGCTTTTCGGGTCCTTGCCCGCGCGCCACGAGGAATCTAAGGATGATGCAATCAGAGAATTTATGAAATGGCGCCGCGGTGCTAACTATGGCAATGACGTACATTTCGACAGACTTGTTGAGGTGTGTATAAACAATATCGTTTATCTTGTGACCTTAAATTCCTAATCTACCCTAATGACAAGTAATAGTAAGCCTTTGATTAACAAACTTATCATTTTGTTCGCAGAGAATTGAAGAAGTTTTCCAAACCATCAGGCATCCGTTTCTTGCTATTTTACGAGAGACTGGTATTTATAGGACCTAACCGAGGAAGACGGAAACATCGATGAAGTGTGGTGTGTGTTTCATTTTCTATTGTTAAGAAAAATTTCTTCACCTATTTTGATAAGGATTGGCTTGTTGTAAAATTGTTCTTATATGATTTGATTTGATATTATAGATCTTCCTTACCTAGTCTAACTATTGTTTTAAGATTGTGTGTACTACTTCTGAAATTTTATTTGTGCTTTTAATCAAATTAGTGTGAAACACGATGTATTCAGATTAGAATTAAGCTGTAATAACTATTTTTTATGATTAAAATATTAAGTAAGTACGTCTATGGGATTTTATTATGTCTAGCGATATTGAAGTAAATTATGCGAGAGGGATTTTCAGACTCTTATTGACTAAAAACCACTCTGCTTCTACTTCTGCAGTTCGAGCCGGAGCCCAGGTAACCTTTCACGTTCTCCGCGGCTCCGTACCAGCGCATCAGTCCTATTGGGCTCCATCCGTGGTGGTCTGATGGTATTTTGAGGCGGGCTCGGAACGCGACGCGCCGTACGCACGGGACGTATAGTTCCTTAAGGTTAAAATTTTCAGTGCCGAGTGTTTATTTTATGAATCTATAAATGTACCTTCCTTCGTCTGTGTACCTTATAGGCGTCATACAGTTATATACGACGGACGTAGTGCACAATTGGATGCTATTATAGAGAAGTTCGAAATGGTAAACGTATCTAATATTTAACAACTACTGAGTTGTGACCGCGACTTCGTCTGCGTGGGATGGTGACGCATAGTTCTTCACAACTCCTCTCTCGTATTTGACAGTGTGATAATATCTATATGTTGACCCGATCTGTTAGTCGGAATAATCATGAATATTCATGCAAAATTTGAAGTAAATCCATGTAGTACTTTTTGAGTTTAGCCCGGACATACATACATGCGCAAACAGACATTAATCCAAAACATTATTTTTTGGGTTTGATAGCGATAGTAGATCACGCCCCAAATATTAATTTTTCAAACAAACTATATTTTTCCCAAAATGCTCATAATAATGTTCTTTAGAGTGCACTGATGCCAAAACTACTTATATTAGGTACCAAAAAGCTATCGAGACATAAATTGTAGAAAATTATTAGTAGTTTAATATCGTAGTTAACGGTTTTCTCGTAAAATGCACAGAAAAAGAGATTTTGTAAAAAAAACTGCTGTTGGTCGCCATTTTTCCAAGATGGCGGCGCGAGCGGCGCACGTACAAAGGTGCAAAATGGAAATCGAAAAGAGCACATCAAAATCTGCAAAATTGCCGATTTTTAAAACTTCCGGATAACGTTCCAGGTAGAAGAACCACCAAATTACTGAACTATTAATGTAGGTACATTGAAATTGTAACATATTTCTGTTCGTTTTCTTGACAATATTAGAGAAAATACATTGATAGATACCTACATAATAAGGTCACTGCTATTTTGATAAGTTTTTTCAATACCCAAGGGATATGCAGACTGAGAAAGACGTAAATACCTAGTTTCAATGTATTTATTGAGTCCCATAGAATACGGGGTTAGCCTATTGCCATTCTCTCTCTCTCTCGAAATGATTTCGATCACATTCTCGCCGGTCATTAGTCGAGATTATTCTCACAAATGGCATGGCGGACGCGGACCGCGATCGAATTCACTTCGAGGGTTCGAATTGACATCTTACCCATCTTACAGAATAATGTAGCTAAACTGAGAAATTTTCGAAAAACCGATAAAACAAACTTTTCTGAGAAAATATTGCATAGACATTTCATATTTCATTCAAACCTACCGATAGCAAGTACCAATGTGACTTTTCCGAATCATACTTATGTATTTTCTAAGATTATTTAGATACCACTGACAAACGATGAAGGAAAACATCGTGAGGAAACCTGGGCTTATATAATTACGAGTTGGCGATTTCAAACTAATTATAAATTTGAAATCGCCAACTGGCGATTAATGCTCAAATTTCCGTATGAGAAGAAGCATTGCTCAACGGTGGGCACTTATAGGCTGTTGACGATGATGATTTCAGAACATTGCATTGATATTGAAAAAGTTGTCATCCTTTTGTGAATGTGTCGTAATATTTGAAGAAGAAATGATAAATTTTGTGAAAAAAATGATTGGGCCATTTTGAGACATTTAGAGAAGAAACGCTAGTATACGATCTCCGGCCACCGTAAGCGCGGGCCTGCAGACGGTGAGCATGGGTGGCTCGCCGCCCGACCAGAACCTACGGCGCGTCGCATTCCGCGAGCGCCTCAAAGAGCTATTCGATCACCACGGATGGGGCCCAATAGGGCTGATGCTGATACAGAGCCGCGGAGAACTTAAGGGTTGCCGGGGCTCCGGCTCGAAGTGCAAGAGTAGGAACGGGGTGGTTTTTAGTGACACTCCCTCCCGCCTCACCCAGGCGGGAGAAGCCAATCAATAATTTTCCCCCCTTAAAAAAAGCCTCATAGACATCAAAGAATCTAAAATAAGTATCAAGATATGGCTCTAAAGGCTCTATGACTGTTAGATATGGCTCTAAAGGTGCAGAAATAGGTAACAAATTTAGCAGTGGACGATTGCATAAGCTCAACAATAAAGAAAAATTGTTGAGCTTTTTGCATAAGCTCAACAATAAAAAAATCACTTTTGTATTAATTAACTGGTCTTAAGACATTGATATAACAATCTGCCATTTATTAAAGCATTTTAACTTTACGGTACTGACATAAAGTGAAAATTTTATTGAATAAACTCGACTGATTACGTGCGAGCCTGTAGTAGCTTACACAAGAGGAATGTCACTAGAATGTCACGGGAAGATTTAATTATAGAGAGTTTGTTAAATAAAATATACGTTAATACAGGTTGAATGCCTTTAATGCACTGTAAAACATGCGCTTGTAAAAATGTACAAAAGGTAAAAAAAGCAAACCAACAAAAAATTAATGAAAATGGCAGTCTACTAGCGGACCCGACAGACGTTGTCCTGCAATGATATTTCAAGCAATTAGGTTAAAAAAGTATGAAAGGAAAGACCAATAATATTTTATAATAATAACTCTTTATTTTGAAATACCATACATTTTTCGAAAACAATTCGTTATAATCTTTTTTATTTTATCTTAATGCTAGTTGATGAACAATAATTTTAGTAAATTCCTGGGGAGGATAAATTAATAAACTTGACGGTTTCGAACGCGAGAACACGCCACATGTCCAATTATATGTGGCGTGTCCATGTGAAAAGATTGGACTTTCTAGATCCAACCCACAAATAGACATCGTTTGACCTTGTGACTTATTAATAGTCATGGCAAATACCAAGCGAAGTGGAAATTGCAGACGTCTGAATGGAATGGGTGAGGTTAAAGGGATCATTGGGATTCGTGGCAGGAGAACCATTTCACCTTCAAATTTGCCGTTCAATATTGTAACTTATTCTAACTTTATGACGCACCTTGTACCGTTCCATAGCTTAGGTGCATTTAAATTGCGAAGCAAAATGATGGGTGGACCAATATTTAATCGCAAGTTATGTGGTGGCGTTCCTGGTATATCCAGGAAGTTCAAAAATTCAACAGGATAGCTGACTGCTTCGTCAGGTTCGGTAAGTGTCGATCGATTTGAACAATATCTCATTGCCGGGCAATGACTGTTGTATATTGAAGTTAATAGCGTCAACATCGATATTGTTTGCAGCTAACATACTAAACGCTGGACTAATTTGAATTATTTTTTGTTTGCAAAAAAAACATGGTTATTCCATGTGAAATATCATGGCACAACAGTATACATTAATATCTTTGCGAATTGACCGGGAATACCTGATCGGTTGCATAGTTTGAAAAAGTCAGTTAATGTATAACAGCAGGGTCTCTTTCCTAGATTTTTAATATAAACAGCGACTGCAGCGCCATCTGCCGAACTGATTTGTGAATCTAAACCATCCAGGGCGTCACCCAAACGTAAACAAAAAATCATTCAAATCAGTCCAGTTATTTAGTGGCAGTATAGATAAATAACCTAGATACCAACTGCATTTGTGAATCTAAACACAAAAAATTCATAATTATAATCGGTCAAGCCTTTTAGGAGGAGTTCAACATAAATATGTACACACGTACAGCAGAATTATATGTATAAAGATAAAAAATATTACTACATGACCTTCGTACCGAGTGTGTGATGGACATTGAATACAAGGTGCCCAATAAATTGGTAAGCCGGAACGCATCATACGTTCATATTGGTTGTTAAGCATGTGTAGATACTTCATACTGTAATAATATGCATCTTGCATGACGCAAGCTTTCCATCTTATGAATTTTATAGATAATACAATGGTCTACCATCGCTTTCATGGTATCATGGTATCTTGCTTTCAAATTTCGCCATTCTCAGTATTAAAATATACAAAAACTTCATATCTTTTGTTCTCTGAATGGAGTAATATACATCCCCGTATATCTAGCTATTTACCTCTCCTTGTGTAGGAAGTTCTTAAGTTAAGGATTACAGTTTTATGATTATTTTATTTATAATTTTTTTTAAGGGAGAAAATCATCCAATGACTTCTTCCGCCGGGTGAGTCGAGAGGGAGTATCAGACTCTAAATAACTCAGACTGATTAAATATAATCATAATTTGCATACTTCTCCTTCTAAGAGTTACTGGCTTCATATTTTCAAAAAAAAACTTTTTACTTTAAAAAAAAAAATATAACATTACAGTGGAAAATACCCTGCGCTATTTTGTAGCCCATTTACTATCATTTCATCATCTTATTTCAGTTGATTTCGTCATTTAAAATAGTTTCATCATTATTTCTATCTCTGTTATTAGTTAGGTACTAACTTTAGGTACAAGCTAAGATTTATTCGTATTTATCTGCTTTTATTGCAAGATGGGTTTTTACTTTTACGATGGTATTTCTCAATTATCTTGAAACTATTCTGTATCAAAAGTAACTAGGTTCCCAGTATCTTTATTTATAAATCAATTCATC